GGCAGCGCAGGGGTCCCCGCGCGTGGCCAGGCTGGGGCGGCGGCCGAGCCCGCGGAGCTCATCCGGCGCGCGCACGAGTTCAAGAGCCAAGGGGCGCAGTGCTACAAGGACAAGAAATTCCGCGAAGCCATCGGCAAGTACCACCGGGCGCTACTCGAACTGAAGGGGCTGCCGCCGCCGCCCGGGGAACGGGAGCGTGACCTGCGCGCAGCCGCCCCGGCCGGGGCCCCCAAGCCCGGTCGCCTCTCGGAGGAGCAGAGCAAGACGGTGGAGGCCATCGAGATCGACTGCTACAACAGCCTGGCAGGTGAGTTGCTGCGCCCGCAGCCGCTCCCGCGCCCCCTCCCGCCCTCCAGCCCGGCCCTCCGCTGCGGCGGCGCGCCCGGTGCAGCCCGCTCGGCTGTGACCGCGCCGCCCGGGAGGGGAGGGAGGCGCTCGGGAGAAGTGGGACTTTCGGGAGACGGCCGTGGTCATCCCGCGGCCCCTTTCTCGAATCCATCGTCACTGTCGCGTGGAAGTGGCCTCACGGATGCAAGGCGACCGGCTGGCCTGGCCACCGCGGAGGACTCGGGTCCAGTGTGCAGAAGCAGCCCCCGCACCCATGGCTGGCTCAGGGTCCCCGGGGAGGGTCCCCAGGGCTGCTCCGCGCCTGTCCACCCTCCTCGGGTGTCACCCGCTCAAGAGTTTACCCTCGCCTTCTTCCCACAGAGCTGCAGCCCTCTGGGTAAGGCTCTTCCCCAAGTTGTGTGGCACCGGTAGCAGAGGGGAGTTTGCCACAATGTTTTCAGCATCTTTAGCAAAATGGATTCCAAAATGTCACTTCCTTCTCGCTGAGCTCGGGGCTCCCTGTTGGCAGGTGAAGACGGCAGTCTCAAAGGGAATCTAGTTCCCAAGGTTCCTCTTAGTCTCTGCGGTGTCCTGGGTCTCCTCCTAGGAGTGGAGGAAAACAGGGGGGAGGGGGAGAGCTGAAGGGGGGGGGTTCCATTGGGCCAAGAAGGGGTACATTCCAGTCTTCACCCTGGGGATGAGGCCAAAGCCAGGCATTAAAACACTTTGCCTAAAGCACTGAAAACGTAAAGTCTGTAAGAAAGGAAGACTTTGGGGTTTTCTGAGCCCTTCCTTGGAAGAGATGGAGATGCTGGCAGAGGGGAGGCTGTTATGTTTGAAAAGGAATATCTCTTTCTGCCACCCCATTGGGTAGGATTTTGGTGGGATCAAACATCTCTAACGCAATAAAAGCCCATTTTTCTTCGTTTCTAGCCCTTGAAGTTGTCTAAATCGCTATGGACTTAAGCAGGGAAGATAGGCAGTGTGACAAGCTGTGCCCAGGATGGTGGTTGTGTCTGTGGCCCAGAGCCCTGGGGATGACAATCCGGCTGGTTACCCACTTATACCTGCTCTGTTCCCAAGTGCACAGAGACCTACTGTGTTCCCTTGAGGTTTCTCAGTCTCTCTCCACCTTCCCTTAACGCCGTGTCCAGTGTCATCTTTAATCAGGTGCAACCCAGGCTAGAGAAGCACTTTGCAAATTGCTAAGTAATTCACAAACTGAAAGTATCAACAACAATAGTAACACTCCCAGGTGCGGCAGAAAGGGTGCTACCAATAGTGGTATGATTACTAATGGCCTCAGATGATGTGATAGTAGAGCAAAGAGGGCCCATTTCAATCCATTACTAGATACAGCCTGATGCTCTTTATTTCCTGTAAGTCTCCGGTGCACTGTACTGGCTGCTGTCCAATGCATAGTTTAAAGCACCAGCAGCCAGTACAGAGCAGCTGTGGGCGGAGGGAGCGACACTGGATCACTAATGCAGTGATTCCTGAGTGGTAATGGAGCCTTGCGTTCAGTGTTATCCATGCGTCCTAGGACTGCCCGCGCCCGTGCTTTTGACTCCCAGCCAGTGAGTAGCACCGCCTGCTCCTCCCCGCCCAGCAGTGGCTACATTTGCACAGTGAAACCAAAGATGTGTCCTTGGCTGGGAGAGCACAGTCGGGGTGGGGCTGAGATCTGAGGGGCTCCTCTACTTCCACCCCGCCCTCCCCCCTCAGAACACTTCAGAGGAGAACTCTCAGGGCAGCTGCAGCCTACCCCTCTTCTGCCTCTCGCTCTCCAGTACCCTCCAATCTTTGTCTTTTTGAGACAGGGTCTCACCATGCAGCTCAGACTGGCCTTGAGATCACTTTGTAGCCCAGGCTGGTCTCCAACTCACTGCAAGCCTCTTGCCTCAGCCTCCCAAGTGCTGGGATTATAAATGTGCACTACCACGCCCGGCTACTCATTAATATTAATACTCTGCATTTTAAAATCTGTCTGAAAGAACAGGATCATCAGTTTTTGGAGAGCAAATTCAAGGCTCCACAGCCACTCAAAAGCAGTGTTCCTGTCATCAGGCCTGCATCTTCAGGCCTCTGTTTCCTGGAACCCAGGTCCAGGCAGGTGCCCGAGCCATCGCTTTAGGAATTCTTTTAGGAGCTCTCAGCCCTGGGAACTGGGAGAAAGACATGCAGTGTCTGGTTCCAAATATTGTGAAGTTTCACATAAGAGAGAAAATAGGGATTATAAGCTGAGCTGTCTCCACAGTGAAAATCTGTGTCCCAGGAAGAAAATTCAGCTGAGAGGAGGGTTTCACAGGTCACCTTGGGGAAGAAGTAAAAGCCCAACACTGCTTCCCTTTGGCAACATGCATAAACTCAGTTACCACTATCTTAAGAGTCCTCACTGATAGCAAGGCATCCTTTTTGGAGGATTATGCAAGTAACAGATACCTGTAATATGTGTTTTCTTTTAGAAAACACCAGCATTGTAAGGAAGCCAAAACCAAGTTACCCCTAATCCCACATTCCTAAAGAAACCCCTTGTGGTATATTTCCTTCCTGTGTATAAATGTAAACCATGTACAAAGCTGAGCTCCTCCTGCGTATTGGCATCTGTCTTGCTTTTAACCCCACTTATCCTGTGAGATGCCTTTTTACATTGCATTAAAATATTTCCACGGAGATGGTTTTCACTGGTAGCCGCAACATTTTAAATGTGATCTGTAGTTATCACCAGATAGAAAAGGACGGATGACCGCTGCTGCTGACTTTAGAGCCGGAACAGGGCAGTGTGGCCACAGGCACCGTTTTCGCTGTGTGCCTGCTAGAGGCAAGGAGACCAGCGAGTGCTGTTTCATTCAGGTAGAAAGGCAGCTGACCCTGCTCTTGGGCCTCGGGCGCCAGCTGAGCAGCCCAGTGGTCTCCAGACATTACACTGAGAACATTTATCAATGTCTTGTCCTCCTTCCACCAGGAACCATCCGTGGCGACAGCCGCTTGCAACGCAGAGGAAACTTGGGCTCACCCAGAAATACCTGGAGGATTAGGCTGTTGCCAAGGGTAGCTGTGCTCTAAGCAAGAGGCAGTTGTGAGGTTTCTGTGAAAAGAAAAAAAAAAAAACCTAGGCCCAGTGAATCCTTGTGCCCTCCCAAAGGTGCCAAAAGAATAGTAAGGAGGCAACTAGAAGGCACTAAGAGACATTAGTCTGAAAACTTGCACGGATGGCCTGAGGGACTGCGTGATAGTAGCCCAGGTGTGGTCCTTTCTGACGTGGATTTCCTCTCTGTTGGGAGGCATCTGGCCAGTGGCATAGGGCCCATGGACTGATTCTGCATGTTCCATAATCTAAGAAATTCAAAGAAAGAGATGGGGAGAATTCTGCCTTCACATAACTCTAAATGTCACATGAGTCTGATACAATAAGTAGAAAAGATATTCTGATCTCCCTGGGAGACGAGAATCTGCTTCTTACTGAGGCCACAGAGCAGTTGTGCATCGGCCTGCTGATCAGCTCTCGTTGACCTTGAACAAAACACAGGGCTCCTTGGGGCTTTGGGATCCCTTGAAGGGCAGCTCCTTCTGCTCTACATCTGTTCCCGTGGAGCTGTGGTGGCCCCATCTGGTTTTGGTCAAAGGGATGTGACACCTCATGGCTTCTTTGCTATTTTCAAATGATGCTCAAGGTCCAAACACCAGCGGAGATGAGTGCCCGCAGAGCATGGCACTGGGCCCACAGGCTGAGAATGGGTGTCTTTATCCAAAACATGGGCATCTTGGACAAGGCCCTGCCACTTCGTTCTTCATGTCTGTTTATTTAGATCTAGGTTTGGGCAATTTGTCTTTGTTTTCCGAAGGGGCAAATACTATCCATTGGTCTCAACGGAAGCTGCAAAATGGATGTGATGTGGCATGGAAGGGAGACTGCACTGGGAAAGGCAGGGACAGTATCTTCTGAAACCAGATTTATTAGTGCTATGGGGTGGCATGAAGTCGCAGGAGCAGGGCCAGATGCCTAATTTGTGAGACCCCACACAAAACGCATATGTGGGGTATTTGTTCAAAAAGCAGGCAGCCTATATAACCAGGCACAAGGGCCGGGAGATGGCTCAGTGGCATAAACACCTGCCTGGAAAGCCCAAGGTCCTGAGTTTGATCCCTGGTAACAAAAGGAAGGAAGGGAGAAGGAAGGAGGGAGGGAGGGAAGGAAGGAACCAGCCACAGTAACTATTCAGGAAATGGAGGCAGGAAGATTTCTAGCCTGGGCAACTTAGCAAGATGTTATCCTCACACACACAGAAAGAAAATCATGTCACTGATGGTACTAAAGGATACAATTTAGGTAAGTTATTTTCTTTTCACCATGATTTTTTTTTCTCCTTGATCTCGATACCATTTTCTGGTTGCTATTTAATGTCCCTACAAGACAATTACAAATTTAACTTTTTGGCATGAATTTTAACTATTCTTCTACGTGATGGACGATACCAGTTTTAAATGAAAACGCAAGCACACTTGCCCTGTATGTGAAAGCATAGAAATCACACAACTTACATTTCGCAGCCTCTGCGTTCATTGCAGTTCATTCCTAGCAGGATGGTGGAAACACTGCACGGAACAGCATGTGCCGGAATTCTTTACAGGCATATTTTAAATGAATATTCTCTATGCATACTTTCTACCAAGCTTTCTGATGACCATGAAAAGGAGAAGGAACTGTAAATTTACGCTGCTCTTCTGTCATCCCTTTTGGCCTCAGTGGTACGGTATCTCAGCATGTGATAGTCTCTATACACTTAGATGTGTGATTTGCTAAGGTTCCTGGGTCATTTGTATTTCTTAAGACACCATTCTTTCTTTCTGCATTTGAAGCAATTTCTGGTTCAAACAGAAAGCATGGCCTCTTCACATGTTAGACTGTCTCCTTAGCAACACCTTTTCCTTGTATTTGAATCTTCTATTGAGCCTCGATGAACTTTCATATCTCTGTTC